TCAGCCCTCTCTAAGCGGTTTACAGAGTCAGCATATCACCCCCACAGTCTGGGTCCTCATTTCACCCACCTCGGAAGGATGGAAGGCTGAGTAAATCTTGAGCCGGTGAGATTTGAACCGCTGAACTGCAGAACTGCAGTCAGCTGAAGTGGCCTGCAGTACTGCACTCTACCCACTGTGCCACCTCGGCTACTTTTATCAAAATCACATATTACTACCACTCTATAAAGCCTTAGTAAGGCCACACACCTGGAATACTGCATCCAGTTTTGATCACCACGTTATAAAAAAAAAGATGTTGAGACTTTGGGGGGAAAAGTGCAGAGAAGAGCAACTAAGAGACTAAAACACATGAAAAACGGTTGCAGGAATTAGGAATGGCCAGTCTAGAGTCAAGAAGGATTGGGTGGGGGGACAGGATAGAAGCATTCCAATATTTGACGATCAACTTATTTTCTAAAGCACCAGAAGGCAGGGCAAGAAACAATGGATGGAAACTAATCAAGGAAAGAAGCAACCTGGAATGAAGGAGAAACTTCCTAACAGTGAGAACAGTTAATCAGTGGAACAGCTTGCCACCAGAAGTTGTAGGTGCTTCATTACTGGAGGTTTATAAAGAAAAAAAACTGGACAGCAACTTGTCTGGAATAATCTAGGGCCATGATGGCGAACCAATGGCATGCGTGCCACAGGTGAAACACGGAGCCCTCTCTGCAGGCACGCGAGCTACCGCGCCAACTCAACTTTCACCAGGCATAAGCGCACACCTCCTGCCAGCCAGCTGATTTTTAGGTCTCTGCCATGCATGCATGGGGGCGGGGCGCATGTGTGAGACATGCACACATGCGTGGGAGTGCATGGGAGTGCATGGGAGTGTGAGAGGGGAATTTTTGGTCCCAGGAGGCTTCAGAGAGGCCTGCTAGGCCCAAAACAGGTGGTGGTAGGGATCACACATGCATGTGTGGGGGGAGCATAGAGGAGGTCATGCTTGCATGTGCAGGAGTAGGGCATGAGGGGAGGAACACGTGCATTGCATTATGGGTGTGGACACTTTCACCATGCAAGGACAAAAAGGTTAGCCATCACTGGTCTAGGGTCTCCTGCTTAAGCAGGGGGGTTGTAATAGAAGACTTCCAAGGTCCCTTCCAATTCTATTCTGATTCTGGATTTAAGGACAGTCCACCTTTGTGGACTTTCCCCCTGTATCCATGTATTCCAGAATTCACAGTAAATTAATAAAAGGGGTTTTCGTTGGGACCAGGAGTTTGCTTCATGCTCTTGGGAAGCCTCGGTCAGAACAAGTTTCCTATGTTTCTTCTGTACGAAGAGCAAAAAAATTGGACCAAGATGCTGAACTGGGCTACTGCATGCATGATGCTTTTCACATGGAACTTTTTACTGAAGTTCCAAGCCAGATGTTCAGAATGAAACATTCTGCTTTGTAGCCTTCCTAAAAGTTCGAGTGGGATAGTGGCATGATTCAGAATAGCATTGTCCCTAGAAGTCTCTGGTATGCCCATTTCATAGGGGTCACTGAATTGGAAACAAAGACTAGTTAACATAAGGCTCACACTTTAAATGTCAACTGATAAACAAGCAGAAAACCAATGCGGTTGGATCTGTTATGTCTACTTATAGGGGGCAGCCTTTGAAGAGTATTCGGAGACTACAACTCGTCCAGAATGCAGCCGCGCAAGCGATTGTGGGTGCACCTC